AGTTTAGACATTCTTCTGTAACCGATGCCATCATTATGCTTTGCAACAATAAGGTTGAGTTCAGCTGGTGTCTTGGCTTTCCATGCCTTTTTACACCTCCCTTTCTTCATGTGTTCAATACTTTTTCCCTGTGCCATTCCACATAATTACAAATACAGTAACTTCATTTCTGGACATTTATGGCCAGTCTAGAGCCAACCTTGCTTGCAATCATAAAAACCTTCAGTAAGTACAGAAGACAGCTGTGAACCACTTGTTCTCAGTCTCTGCTTTGGGGTAAAAAAATCTGAAGATGAGAAAGCTCACCATAGTAAGATACTGTGTATATATACTGTTAAGTCCGCTTTTAGTTATGTTTTTGTTCAACTGCATTTTGAGCAATGCATATTTACTTCATCTAGTGACAATCAAGGTTGAATACTAAGTTTTGTGAATTAAAAATTAAAATTTGAAAACAAATTATGTAAAAGAAATGAAAACAAAATTATAAGTGTTAACCTGGGTAACACACTTACTTCACACTGAAAGTAAAACAAGCGGAATTGCCAATTTGTATCTGTTTTTATCTCTGGTCTTAAATGCCAGTATTAAACGGTAGATGCCAAGATCAAGTCTTCATGGTGACCTTAGCCCTAGTATCTCACAACTACTAGTATGATTAATGGCTTGCACGGCCCCTCATATTCACAACTTTCCCTTCTGTTTTTATTCACTGTCTGGCCTTGATAAAGGTCAAGTCTATTGAAACAGATTGAGTATCACAAGTAAACACCTTTGTTTTCTTCTTTACTTAATTACCTCCATTGTGTGTTCTTCCTGTTTTGACCATGAGTTAGCTGGATGCAGTTTAGAGAACACAGATTTATGTCATAGCCCCAAGGACAGCAGAACGTGTAAGAAGACACATCATCCCACAAATGTTTGCAACTTCATGCATGCCAGCTTCATAAAAGAGGGATCAGATTACTGCAGTGTACTGTTACCAACATACATGTCTGTGTGTGGCTAGGTGAAGGAACTTTATCAGGGAGTGCTTGGGAAACTCCAGCTGCTCCACCCAGGCGTGATTGCAGAAGAGAGGATGGGGGATGGCGATGAGAGGATGAGGAGGGAGATGGAGAAAGAAGTGGTGCGACGGAAGTCTTTGGCATCGCAGCTGCATACTCTGCTCGACAGTCAGTTGCAGGTATCTCACTCTACCACTGTAAAACTTCAGAATACAACCACTGAAAATAAGTTTAGTTGGAAAAAAATCTCACTAAAGTCAGGGAAACTCTTTATGAATAAACAAACAATCAAACAATCAAATAATCATGAGCACAACCTTTTCAACCCACCTCAGGACATGCATTTATGTCCATTTGCATCTCTGTGTCTAACTGGCAAAAGCGGTTAAACAAAACTTACATTATTTAAAAGGTGAGTGCAAGTCTTTTGAAGCAGTGTTCTGTGGAAACATTATGAATGGGAATTATCTTACCTGTTGTAGATAGCTCTTCAAATGCCCTCAGGTAATAGAAAGTGTTGGGTTTTCACTGAATTGAGGAGTTAACAGCTGAGTCAACAGTAGATTGCTGCAGTCTTAATATAACTCCAACTTTTGGTAAATCTAATGTTTTAAGCCTTAATGTCACTGTCAGTTTTGCACTAAATGATTTATTTCAAAACCAGGCATTAGCTCATCGATAAAGTCAGAAATAACTTATTTCTCTGAACTGAAGATGCTCAAAAAGTTATTTGCAACAGGTACATAATTTATTGTTTACAACCTTTCCACAGAATCTGATTAAGTCGAGTTCATTTTATAAAAATCCCGACTCTGATCCTTCAGTTGAACGTTGCAGATAATCTGCTAAATGCTGCAATTCCAAGTGAAGAAACATCTAAATGAAGACAAAAGTTTACTCTAATTAGGTGTGCCTTGTTTGATTCCAGGTTCTGAGGCGGGAGCAGCAGGCCAAGAAGAGGGTCTACAGCATGTTCACATCACAGCTCAGAGAGTGCACAAGACTCCTGTCCAAGATTCACAACAAGAACCGGGCCTTCTGTGAGATGCTTCAGCAAAAGTTAAGATCGCTCACTTTTTCCCACCAAGCAGCAACACCATGCAGCGAAGCAATTTATTCCATTAAAATTGTTTTTCGCATTCAGTTTAATCCAGAAGCTTGCAGCTCTTGTTGATGAAATGGGAGAGCTGGTGTCAGCAGAGTGCCACCGTCAGGGAGCGTGGGGATTGCTGGGGGAGGGTACGGGGGCCAAGCTGCTCTGCCTCGACACCGGAACTGTCCTGAACAAAGACAACATCTTTAGTGAGTAAAAAAACAAACAAACAAACAAACAAAAAAACTGCATAGAGTAAAAAACTGTGCAGGATTTTATTTGCACTTTTACAGAAAGAGCACCATCTACTGCAACATGTGAGCGCTGCAACAAGATACAATACAAAGCACAAGAAAATAAACACAATTTTGTTCTGGTTTGATGCTTAGAATATGTAAAAAACATGTAAAGATTTGTATTTACAACTTTAACTTTGAATAAGTTTAACATTGCGTTGCTACTCCAATGCACACGATCCATCAAAGTTTTCCTCTTTGCATGTGACCCTTGGTAACTGATTGCTCGCAATGATTTTTTTTCTGTCTCTCTCCAGATCCTGATGGGTCTTTACGTGCCTCTGGGTCAGTTCACTATGATTCAGTTACGGGGCTCATAAGGCCGAACGCTCAAAGCCACATGCTGCTGAACAGTGGCCACACCATGGCAGTGCCCCCTGATTTCTTCCTTCACCCACAGACGGGCAGACTTTTGCCCATTGTTGGTAATGTGGCCTATGATCCTGCCAGTTCTACATTGGTGTTTACTACTGACCTTTGTTCAGGTAACAATACTCTTTGTGTTTAGTTTTAGATTCAGAGCTGAAATTTTTTAAATAATTTCTGAGAAAAATAAAATTTTTATACACAATAAAGAAAAAAAATCACATTTGAAATGAAAGAAGGCATATAGAAGAAAAAAATCTTATAATGTCTGCCCCTTTTATCCAAAATTAATTTCAAACAATAACAATCAAAAAACAAAACAAATTAAAAACGTCAATTCCTTTTCAAACAACAACTTTTGATATACATTATACAGTTTCGTTTTTCGTTAACAAACTTATTTTAATGTATTTTAAAATAACTCATTAGTAAGATTTAAAAAACCTTAAAGGCATAATTTTGTATGATCAAAACTGAGATTTATTTTAAAAATGTGTTTTACAGAGATGCAAACAACACAGGACAAATATGTAAAACAAGAACAAACAAGGTATGAGGTGATAGTAACAATCAAATATAGGAGCAGTCCAACTAAGTGAATGAATGACACTGAAATTAAGTATTATAGTAAAACATTGAAATTTCTTCATATAAGTGTGTTTGATTTGAATAATTATTATGCTTTGACCCAAAGTCAAGACAGAAATTGACCGAGTTGTTGGCTGTTTTGGCGCAAACTAGTGTTCTAGCTATGATGAAAAAAATGGAACAAAAATATAAGAAATTATTTATTTAACAATGATAATGCAAAACGCAGAAAGCAATGAACAATGAAAGACAAGACATCTACCTGTTAAATTTTATAAAACAAAAATGCATCTTACAGTAACATGTTATTTTGTGAGGCTTTGTTGTGCTTTTTGAATTTGTATTATATTTGTTTGTGTTTTTGTGTTCTCTTTTGAAGTTTGGTAGCTTTCTGTCATTAAATTATATTTAAATAAATTTTTATTTATCTTTTCCTTACATTTGCTTTTATATATATCGCTCTGGAGTTTAAACCGTGGACAAATTTCATTCCACCTCATGGAAGCAAATGATGTAAAAGACAAAGCCTCCTCTCCACATGTATTCCGTTAGTAATCATCAAAATAATCAGACTGTTTTTTTTCAGCATTTTGTCAGATTGTCTGTTAACTTCCTGCATCTTGCTTTTTGTTCTTTTATTGCCTCAGTTTTGTAAATAAAGGCAAATCGATTAAAAAAGGCCTCCTTACTGCCTACATTTTTTATCTTACTGGATTTCTGCTCCCACCAAATGTGGCATCAAGCTTTATTTACTCAAATGGATCGTGTTATTCTCAGTAAAGAGTAACACAATGAGATAATGTGTCCCTTTCTTTATTTTAGGTGACAACAGGAAGTGGGACAGTCCCCTCCTTCCTTTCCTTCCTTATCCAACCTCTGGTCACTCTGGCCAGCCTCTGCCTTGCTCTCGGCTCAAAAGCCTCAGACCGGGCCAGAGGCTACAGCTGGGCATTCCCATGCCTGATCCAGACACAGGAGTCCCGGTACCCATTCTGGCAGTAACCATCCACCCGCACACTGGATTAGTCTATCCACTGGGAAGGTTACATGTCTGCCCATTCTCCCGCCTACCACAGCCTATACAAATAGGTTATCCAATGCTGGACTACAGGACAGGGAACCTTGTTCTCACTGTAGGGGTCAGTTTAGATCCAGTAACAGGTCAGTGACTAAATGGTTCAAATGAACAGTAATTAAAGCCCACTCAGTTGTTTATAACTGCATTTCATGTCTGTGTAGGAGATGTGCAGCCAGTAGGTGGAGTCTTGCTGGCTGATTCTTTTGTCGAACCTCTGAGTGGGCGGATGCTGAGAGTGGGAGGGGCCAACATCAGGGCTGGACAGGTAGTGGCAACCGCAGGAGGATATCAAACTCTACTGGACAACAAGGTGTCTAAAATCATGCCTTAAACTAACATCTAAAAAGTAAATTATATGAAACAAGTTATTCTTGAACATTTGATTGTGTCAGGATAAAAACAAACCTTTTCAAGTCATAAATGTATAAAAACCTTTATTTTTCTGTTTTCTGCTGGTCTTTGATCTTACAAAATTAAAATAGTCAAATGGTTATTTAATAGGCTCACGTTGAGGACAGTTTCTGAAGTTGTGCAGCATTTATTGCATTTAAAATTTCATGATCACATTTCATTGACTTTTCTTTAACTCAGGTTTTGGCAGAGATGTTTAAAGTATTGGACACTTTAAAACCCCTGATCGAGCAGTGGGGTTCAGATCCAACCCTGCAACACACGCAACCCCAGCCAGGAAGCCAGAGTGTAAGTGGTCCACAAGATGATCTCCTTGCTGTGACAAAGGGGCTGGAGCAGGCCTGGGGGCGGAGCCTGCACTGCCAGCTGCAGCTGTGGACCAGACTGGAGATGCTGCTGGAGTGGGCTGCTGGTCTGCAGCAGGACGGAGGCGCTCTGGGTGAGGAAATGCTTGTGAGAGGAGGAAAGATTTTAAATAATTTATCCCAGTTATCAAACTTAAAAAAAATATGTCTCCTGTTCTGTAAGTTTCTCCTAGCTTAAAAAGTCTGGGTTCTTATTTTATTTGCTCTGTTTTTATTTGCTTTGCTTAAATGAAAGTTTTTGTGCCTTAAAATATTCAGGAGAGATTTCTCTGCCGAGTTCAAAGATGCGTGTTCCAGCTCTGCTAGGAATGGAATATCCGGATCCTGCGGGATCTGGTCTGAGTGTTCCTGTACTCGGGTGTCAGAGGGATCCCATCTCTGGGAACTCAATTCCTTTAGCTGGAACCATGGAGGACCCAGATGGGAAAGGTATTGTGAAAAAACACCAGTCACACACGTTCAGCTAACAGAAAGATTTTAAAAAATATTTATACAACTAATGCTTAGATGTCAATATGTGCCACCTTACAGGTCTAGTGGCAATCCGTTATGGATCTCAGACTATTGACCCAGTGACTGGACTGTTAGCACCGGTAGTTGGAGCACGGCTGGATGTGTATAGAAAAATCATTGTCCCCGTTACGGCTTCATACTGGATGATGATGGCAGAACAAACTGATACAGCACAGGTGGAAAAGATACTAAAGCAATAAATAAAAAAATGTTTTTACGATTTTAATAATTTCTCAATTTTTTTTCTTTTTAACCAGGTCGAAGAGCTGCACAGAGAAGTGTGTGTGAGAAACACCTACTGGCAGCAGCAGAGGCAGCGCGAGGAAGATATTATTACTGATCTGGATTCAGCTTTACTCCAGTGTCTCTGTGGAGRCACAGATGCAGATGCTTCTCAGGTCAGCAGGGGGAGTGTGTGTTCTAAAATATCTCTACATTCAGTAGTCTGCATATAGAGCAGGGGTGCCCAAACATTTTCCCTGAGAGGGCCAAAATTAAAAAAAGCATTTTTCCTGAGAGGCCAAAATTAAAATCAATCTGAGGGCCGCGGGCCAAATGCAAAAATATGAGAAATGCAAATACTTAAGTAAAGTTGTTTTTTTTATGATTAAACAACCAGTCAATATGGTTGCCCACATTCTTTAGTTTGTTTTTTCAGCCCATGGACTTGGAGAAAACTCAATGTATGCAGGCAGCAAAGACTCATAGGACTTTTCATAATTTAAAATGAGAGTATATGTGGTCTTAAAAGGTGTGCAAATCTATATATGGGCTTTAATCTAAATGTCTCTTGTAGTTACTTGTATTTTACATTTAATCTTAACATAATTACAATCTAGTAACCAGGACAACTGCTGGTGGGCCAAATCAAATGGCTCGACGGGCCAATTTTGGCCCGCGGGCCCCACTTTGGGCACCTCTGATATAGAGAAACAGACTTTTTGAACTTGTAAAAATAAGAAGGAGATGAAATTTTCAACTAGTACGATTGCTGGATCTTGAAAGTGAATGCAGATTTCAAAGTTGCGTCAATCTTTGACTTTTTTTTCAATTTGATGTCTTTATCTGTTAGTTGGTAGCTAGATTGCAACATATCTACTTTTTCTCTAGTTTGAGTGTTTATTTTTCCATATAGGTCCCATGGTCAGGGAGGCAGCTGAGGGATGCAACCATTGAGCTTCAGGATGCAGCACAGACTGAGGTTCAGAGGAGAGCAGCTCAGCGCTCATACCTGGCTCTGGTCCTGTCTCCAAATGTACTACACACCCTCACATTGGGTAAATCACAGTAGCAAGCTTGCAAAGTGAGAGGAAGCATGAAGGATTAAAGATGTAGATTAAGATTGCACACTTTTCATGAAATCATCTAAAGCTGAGATGGGACAGATTTAGAGCTATTTTGGTCAAAATTTGTAAATTACACTATATGAGTAATATTGCAAAATCTAATGAGATGTGATAGTGCTCAGAGAATCTYTTGAGGATAACACTCAGCAACAATAATGTTGAGCTTATTCATCTGTGGGTGCAGGTGATGAAGACGAATGGGACCAGCAGCGCTCTTGGCACTCAGTGCTCACGTCTGGTCTCGATAAGCTGGACGTGTGTATGGATCAGCTGCAACAAGACAAGGAGAAATGGAAGTCACAGGCTGGGGAGTGGTCCACAAACCTCCATACCACAGTCAGAACTTTTTTTTATTTAGCAAATTTCTGACAGTACATTGTGACCTGCTCGTTTGGGTTAAAGGCTCACCACARTATCGGTCCACAAATCAAATAAAAAGAACACCACATTATTAAGTTTTGATGCAAACCCACTGCTGTCCAAATGTGAACAAGTGTGATGTGATTARTGGACTTTTAGGACAGAGAGCTGAGGCAGAGAGAGCTGTGGGAGCAGTGCAGCTCCAGACAAATGGAGCTGAACGCTACGCTTACTTCACTGCATTTTGTTAGACTTCTTTCTCAGCTGCGTGCCAACACAGCCCAGGTGAAAACACGCAGAAACAAACACAAAAAAATTTAATTACTTTTGATTTAACTATGTATTTAATATAAGGAAAGAAGAAAAAAAACTACACATTTTTCTTTTTGTACTTCCGTCAAGATTGTTTGACTCTTAAAAAACAGTGAAACTGAAACCAAAAGATACTTGAACATGTTGTGTAAAACAACCTTAATTTTGCTTGTCTCTCTAGGCAGTTCTGTGTGGGAGCTTTTGGTTTAAAGACTATGGTCTGGTCCATCGCAACGGGCAAAAATCAAATATAACAATCACTGGTCTTTTCCAACGGAGGGCTTTGCCTCTGCTTGAGAGACTGATTCACCTCCTGGAAGAAAAACAGCCGAACAGCTTGTCCTCAAACATCTGCAATCAGCACATCTCTGGTACAGGAGCAGCTTTTTGTGCCACATTTTAAACCAAAGACCATGATTATTACTAGAAAAGTGTTTTAAATATGTTATTTATTTATTTTATAACACATTAGGCATTAACCTAACCAATGTTTGAGTTGGTGTTTTGTCACAGAATTTCTGACTATTAGTATAAACATTTATATTCCATATCTGACTTTCTAACTTGTTTTAGGTTTGTCGACAAAGCAGGCATATTGTTTGGAGATGCCATCTAGAGTCTGGACGGCCTCTGTACCTGTGGGAAAAGGTATGTCTTAGGCCAGACAGCATTTAGGTGTGGAACTATTTCACCAAATACAGAACAATAGGAAAATTTTGAATTTTTATTGCTGTTATAAAATAATACTGAAGGTTTTCCAAACAATGTGTTGTTTTTCCAGGTTGAAAATTGACTTTTGATTATTCATTCTCTTATTTCTAATTATGTTGTTTGGTTATTTTTTCGTTTGTTTTGGAATTATCAGTCTTGAAAATGTCCAACTTTCCAACTTCAACAAACCTGAAATTCTTCGCTCCGAATTCTTCTAAATAATTAAATTCCTTAGCTGATTTGGAGACTTGATTAATCAAATAAAAAGCCAAAACTGCAAACCAATGTGCACGATTCTAAAAGCTGAGCTTCTGGGGAATTTTTTAGTTTACTTGCCTGCTTTATGTACCTGTACCATTAAAAAAGGCATTAAAATGAAGCAAAATGAAAAAAATGAAACCAGAACAGGGGGTGTTCTTTTTATGTAGGAGGGGGTCAGTGGGGAATTTTTATGAAAACCACAAACTAAAAGCAAACAAACGTTGAATCAGAATGAAAAAAAGAGAAAATATATGAGATAAATGACATCACCCCAACATTCTGACAATCAAGTAACTCTGAAATGACAGATGGTCTGAATTTTTTAATTAACAGAAGTGTAAAGTACATCAACTTTATTACAGTACTTAAGTAATGTTTTTTTGGGATTTGTATATTTACCAAGTATTTTGTTTAATTGGAAATTTTACTTTTGTCATTACATTCAAAACATAAAAATTCTACTTTTACAAATTTAAATATGAGCAGAATTCATCATGAAAGGAGTTGTTTATATACTCTAAAACAAATGAAGTGTTGAGTTTACTTAACCAAGTTACGTCAACTGGTTCCACTAAATCGAGTTGAGTAAATGTAAATTGTTCAATTTGCTCAACTTGATTCAGCAAATTCAACAATTTATTTCTTAGCGTGTAAAAATATTTTTACTTTTACTTTCCTGACTATAATAAGCAGTTTCATGACTTTTACATAAGAACTTTTCCCATCAGTGAAATGATTTTTCATCAAAGCCCTTTTCTGTTAAGGGATTTTTCCATTTTTTTAAGTACTTTACCTCTGTCAATCGGTTACTTTCCATATAAACCAGGTGGCTGGACTAAGTAGTGTTAAAAAAAATCACAAATCACGGCAGTATGTATGGTAAATTTATTCCTCCTTCATTATCTGATCATTCTCTCACGTCTTGTATAGAGTACATAAAATACACAGTAAGAGAGTAGAGCACATTAGAACCAACCAAGTATGAGACCATTTCCTCAAAAGGGCCAAAGAAGTCAGTTCAGTAATAAAACATCTTATGAGGAAGTTTAATATGCTAGTTTTAGGAAGTGAAAATGCCTCTGTTGTGTTTCTGAAGGCCTCTCCACTCAGTCTTTGAGGGAGCCTGTAAATGTTGCCCATTCCCAGGACTCTGGCCTTCAGGCAAACTCGGTGCCGGCACACAATTCACAGACTGTCTCTTCAGGTATTCATTCTCAAGGTAAGACAAAATGTTTTGCTCAGAATGCAGGACCTTTTTTAAGCTGCTCTTCACTCTAGTTTAGTGAGTGTGTGTTTCCTGTAATGTGTTGGGTGTGCCAAATGTGGTTCCTGTTTTTCATCTGCCCCAGATTGTGGTATCAGACATTTGGGTTGTGGGCTATGGTCTTTAACAAACAATGTAAGAAAAAAACTAAAGCTCTCAGAATCCAGGATGTGCAATGAACCATGCTGAAAAAACTATAAAATCATCAAAAATGCATAATGATTTCTCAAAACTCAGTATAACTGTATAAACTGTATACAAAGCAATGAAAACTGAATTGTATGCAGCCACTTAAAAAGTAAAACTGCCCATTTTTTAGTCATAATTTGGTGTAGAATCTGCTAGACTACTTGCGTGTCAAACAAAACACGTCACAATTTCCCGCTTTTCATGTAAGCCCTAGTTGAACATTAAAATACTTCAGCCATAATATCAGGAAGAGAACTGTCAACATTCATCTGTTTGAACAATTCTAAGCAAGCATAAAAATCCATGGGAGTGTCCTTCCATTAAYGTAGTCAGGAGGAAGATGGGTGTTCCCGACATGAACATGTTTAGTGTTGCTGTTACTCTGTATGCTACATAAACGGAAGATCAAAGACACAAATGACGGACATCATTTTCGAAAAACAACAGCACACAAGCGTCCTATGACGTGTATACAAGCATCGACCAGAAGTTATCCTAACTTTGGTAAATATCATCTACCTTGCCGGTTGGGCTGGTTTCGCCGGCTTGCTGCTGTTGCGGCGTGTCTCGGTGGAGTGGCGGATGTGGATGGAGTCCCTCGGCCCTCGGATTGTCCCTCGTGTTTGGACAGAGCGCCTGGGGTGGACTTGCCGGCCTGGACGCGTGACGGTGGGAGCCGGGAAGGAGCGACTAATCTAACAAGTGAGGCGTACCAGCTTCCCTGTTGCCTATTTGGATCAATATCAGCCGTGCCCTGTTTTTCGGTTGAGGATCAAACTGGAGCTACTGGTTTTGGTGAGCATGCTTGCGTCCAACATGGTGGGAACCATGTTATTCAAGCCTTGAAGTGTGTGCCATTCAGCGAAGAAAAGATCAGCAAGCTACTGACTGGCCTCAGAACCTCACCTGATCGGGTAGTAATTTCGGCCTATGTTACTGTTTTTCATCAGTGGACAAGACATTAGTGCTAAAGGCACGGATATAACAGACTCTGTCGGAAACATTTAAGACTTCTGTTTAATATTCTTTTAGTCATTGGAAATATTGAATTTAATCCAGGTCCAGATAAAAATGTTTTTATGTCCACATACAATTATTCATTGTATCGTAGAGACCGTACTGATAGGCTTGGAGGTGGTGTTGCAGTTTATGCTCACAAGAAATACTCACATTCTATAATAGAATTGTCAACTGAGTCTGAATCTCTGCAATTAGAAATTAAGCTTACAAACCACCTTTCAGTAACGGTTGTTGTTACACATAAGTGTTAATTCAACTAAATATTTGGCGCAGTTCACTGACATTATAAAAGGCATAAAATCAAAAGAGTTTGTGATTCTTGGTGATATCAATATGAATTGGGC